TTATTTTCCCTCCCACGAACCTCCCAAGCTGCCCCCATCCCAAGCCCAAGACACCCACCATGGACAACATTTCAAAGTAGCACCTCCTCCCACAAACTCCACCATTACCCTTGGATCCCCAGTGGTTTCTCACAATTTTCTGTTTCTTGTTACTTTGTTAATATTTTACTCTATTTGCTTTAGTGTGCTACTAGTTATCTATATTTCCCTCTAACCATCCATCAGTCCATCTAATTTTTTGACACATTTCCTTGTTTTTTCTGTGGCTGATTGAAAATTTTTCTCTGCTTTTCTGCAATTTCACTATGATGTGTCTAGGCATGAATTTCATTTAATTATTTTGCTGGGTATTTGTTGAGTGTCTTGATGTGTGGATTGGTATGTTTCATCAATTCTGGAAAATCATAGCCTTTTCTCTTCAAACATTTCCTCTGCCTTGTTCTCTTTCTCTTCTTGTGATTAAAATTAATTATATTTAGACATTTTGAGTTATTATTGCTATTTCTAATAGTCTCTTTCATAGATTCTTTTTTTAAAGGTGGGGAGGTCTCTCTGCATAGTTTCTTCTGACTTGTCTTCCAGTTCACTAATTTCCTCTTCCACCCTGTCTAGTTTTCTATTAAAGAGTGTCTTATTAATCAAGGTTCAGTCAGAGAAGCAGAATCACTAAGAGATAGATAGATTTACAGGCGGTTGGTCTTATGCAATTGTGGGAACTGTTTAAAATAATCTCTGCAGAGTTTTTGTCTGAGTCTAGAACTTAAGATCTTCAAGGCAAGGGTTCAGGAAGGGAAGTTGGATGTAAAGAAGGAGAGTAGAAATGAACTGGAATCCTTAAGGACAAACTAGAACCTGTATTAGTCTCTCACCACATCCAACTTTTATGATGTGGGTGCTTTGAAGGAGAATCTTGTGCCTTTTATCATGGAGCTAAACATACCTTGCCCAGAATTTGGAGAAGCTGAAGGAAGATCTGTGACAAGGTGTGTCAGCTGAAGGTCTGATTGTTGCCCCATTTCAGCAAGGTGAACTAGCAGATAAATGATTTTGTTATGTGCATGTGTTGCACCAGCATCTGTCACCCCTGCAGTAACTTCCTGAGTATAAAAACAATATGACTGCTGTTTCACTTCCACCTTCCAAATTTTGTGCAAAAATCTCTCTGATAGCCCATTCTAACTGGAAACATTCAAGGATAGGAATCCTGTAAAATGTAGAGCAGCCCAGCCAAGATGACACACTAGAAAACCACCAAGTACACACTTTTCAACTAGGCACCCATATGTTACCACTTTAACTCATACTTAACTTCCATCCAGAATAAAAACAATAGCAAAGTCATGCCTTTGCCTATTATGATGCAGCTACACAGTGTTCAGCCAAAAACATGTTAACCCTTTCCCCTAAAAAGGATAAAAACTCTCTTTTCCATCCTTGGGTGATGTTTATTCTTCTAGTTTTTCCTTTAGCTCAGTCACACTCCTTTCATATCAAATAACTTGAGTAATGAGATATAAAGTTAACTGCTATTAATATATCATGTGTTAGTAGGAGAATGGGAGAGGGGAAGATTTCATATATTATATAAATATACATATTTATATTTCACACACATGTATGTGTACACATACACATATCAAATTGACGATGAAACATTCATAACCACTACAATCATTTTTGCTACTGGCCATTTGGGAGTCAATCTACCACAAACATATGTATAGCTTTTTATAGTCTTTATCTGAAAAGTCTAGTATCTGATGCCTTTGCAGGTCAGTTTTTCTTGCTGATTTTGCTGTGCTTTTCTGGTGTTGTTGTTGTTGTTTTTTGTTTTGTTTTGTTTTTTCTTTAGCGGAACACGGGGCTCTCACTGTTGTGGCCTCTCCCGTTGCGGAGCACAGGCCCGGACGTGCAGGCTCAGCAGCCATGGCTCACGGGCCCAGCCGCTCCGTGGCACGTGGGATCTTCCCAGACCGGGGCACGAACCCGTGTCCCCTGCATCGGCAGGCGGACTCTCAACCACTGCGCCACCAGGGAAGCCCCTGTGCTTTTTTTTTTTTAACCTATCACTTTAATTTCCTTTGGTTGCCTGGCTATCTTTTGCTGTATGCTGGACATTTTATGTGAAAAAGTATGTATGGTAATAATTTTTTTTTTTTTAACTTGGGATCTTAGCTCCCCGACTGGGGATGGAACCCGCACCCCCTGCAGTGGAAGCGTGGAGTCTCAACCGCTGGACCGCCAGGAAGTCCTATAATTTGAGTTTGGAAATACAGCACTTTCCTCCAATGAAAGGATACTTAAGGATACTTAATTCAATTTTCCTCTTAATTTTTAGTAATGATTCATGTACAAAAGAAGGTGACTGCCAATAATAGAAACAACAGGGGAAAGTACAACTTCTCTGGGGAAGATGTCTGGCTTCAAAGAACTTCCGTTGTCTTGTCTGTGAAGTGGACCCTGATTCCTGCCAGGAGTCAAACAGTCCTTCACTAAGAGAAGCAAGTCAGGCTCTCTATCATTGGTCCAACCTACCTTTTGAGGTTTTTTCCCCACGATTCCCTTATACTGGCATTACATTAAGCAAAACTAAATAATTCCCCATTTTTCAAACTGTACTTTATTTTCCTGCCTTGATACATTTCTCTCCACATGTGATGCCCATTTAACTTCATCTCTTCTAATGGAAATTACCTCAAGACCAAGCTCAAATATACCCCTTTTAAGAAGCTTTCCCAACCAATGTGCTTTTTTCTCTTCTGAATCCTCTTGGCACTTAGTACCCACCCTTTTTTCCCCCAACTAACCCTGGGCATCTTCATTTCACAAAAGCCCCCTATCAACTGTATTTTTTTTTTTTTTTTTGCGGTACGTGGGCCTCTCACTGTTGTGGCCTCTCCCGTTGCGGAGCACAGGCTCCGGACGCGCAGGCTCAGCGGCCATGGCTCACGGGCCTAGCCGCTCTGCGGCATGTGGGATCTTCCCGGACCGGGGCAGGAACCCGTGTCCCCTGCATCGGCAGGCGGACTCTCAAGCACTGCGCCACCAGGGAAGCCCCTATCAACTGTTTTTTAATAGACTTTGTTTAGAGCAGTTTTAGGTTTATACAAAAATTGAGAAGTACAAAGTTTCCTTGCCCCCCCAAAACACAGTTTCCCCTGTTATTTACATCTTATGTTAGTCTGGTATATTTGTTACAATTGTTGAACCAATATTGATACATTAACATCCACAGTTTACATTGGATTCACTCTGTGTTGTACATTCTATGGGTTTTGACAAATACATAGTAACACGTGTCCCTCATTACCATATACAGAATAGTTTCATTGCTCTAAAAATCTGCTGTGCTCTACCTATTCGTTCCTCCTTCCCTATCCTACCCCCAACCCAACACTTGGCAACTGCTGATTCCAAATAATTGACAAAAAATCCTGGAACTAACAAGCAATTAAAGCAAGGTTAATATACAAAAGTCAATTGCTTTCCTACATACTAGCCATGAACAACTGAAATGGGAACTTAAAATCATTTACATTAGCACCAAACAAAACAAACAAAAAAAACCCTCAAGCGTAAAGCTAACAAAATATGTACATCGTCTATATGAGGAAAACTACAGACCTCTGATGAAAGAAATGAAAGAAAATCTAAATAAATGGATATTGCTTCATTGAATTTTAAAAGCAAACTCTCCACTCAGTGAGAATCAGTGACTGGCAGAGCAGAGGGGCAAGCACTCATTACAGCCCTTTATTGGCTTGGGCTGGCTACACAGGACCCACCTCAAATCAGAGATTTAGAAATGCCTTCCTTCACAATGATGGCTAACAAAAAAAAATCCCCCAAACAAAGGTAGCCCCGCAGGTGTGCAGCTTCCAGTGAAGAGCCCAGGGCCCTCACCCCTGTTAGTTGCAGCAGGGAAAGAGGCGCCAAGATAAAATACAAACAAGCGTTTCGTATATATGTATAAGTCCTAAATATTGCCTGGAACGTACTCATACTAAAATGTAAAAAAGTTATTTGTAGCTTCACCAAAATTCAAATGTAACTGTGTCTCCTGTATTTCTACTTGTGATATCTGGCAACCCTACTCCAAGGCCTCACTGTGGCAGAGACTTAGAACGAGGAAAAACAAGTATCTTAGGTGTATTCTGTGGTTGACATTTTTCAAAGCCTTTCAACTCTTTGCTCTCAGGATCTTACTGCAAGTCTGAGAGGAAAGCGGAACAAGCATTTCCATTCTCATTAACCCGATGGGAAAAAAACCCAGACACACCTCCACCCACCCAAAAAAAAAAACCACACAGTAAAAAAACAAAACAGGGAACAAGAAATGGAGGGATGCCTACCCAGGTCAGGAACACAGCTGGCTCTGATCATTCTTAAGCCCACCTGTTGAATTAGCCCAGGTTCAACCTTGGAATCACCTAGGGAACTGCCCAAAACCCGCTGATACCCGGACTCCACTCCTAAAGTCTGGGCGTCTTTTAAAAACATTTTACCTATCTACTTATTTATTAATTTAAATCAAAAAAAATTTTTTTAACCTTTGGACCCTCTCCACCCATTTCTCTTAGCACGTGGTACTTTCAGTGGACTTTTCGGCCTTAAAGTCATCTTTATTTTAATTTAATTAGATTGTAAAGAGTCTGCAAGTCGCAAAATCAGTCCACCGCTCTGGTTACTCATCTGAAAATGTGGGAGGTTAACAGTGTATTTCTTAGAGGGCTGTTGTTAAGATTAGGTGAGCGAAAATGTGAAATGATGCCTGGTACAAAGTGAGCGCTCAAATAAACGTCAGCTACCATGCCTTAGAAACACTGTGACTTCGATCGAAGAGTTTTCACTAAAGGGAAATAAAGGAGGACTACGTTTTAAAATTTTGCTAAATACTTGAGATAACGTGTCAAGACGTATACACGCAAACGGCCAGGAGGACGGCGCCTGCGCAGGGCCGCGGGGGAGGGGGCGAGAGCGGGCGTGCGCAGAGCCGGGGATGGAAAAGCGCATGAGCGGCGCGTCCTGCCCATGGTGCGCGGCGTTCTTCTAGTGGTGTGCGGCGCCCTCCTCACGCCGTAACTGTTCCTCGGTAGCTGTCGGGCTCTGACGAGAATGATGGATTTTGAGAATCTTTTCTCCAAACCCCCCAACCCGGCTCTCGGCAAGAAGCCCGCCACGGATTCTGAGCAAAGGTGACCCCCGGTCTTTTCATGCTTTGAACGCAGGGGATGCAGTTAGGTCTCGCCCCTTTGTTCCTTCGGGAGGCCGCGCTGGCAGGGCCGCCAGGTCCCGCGGGGAGCGCGTCGGGCCGGCCGGGCCGGTGCGACGGCCGGGCGCCCACAGGTCGTTCCGGGGCAGGGGTTAGAAGCCGGGGATGGGGCCCGGTTCATAGGCCGCCGGGGCCAGCGGTGCCGGGAGCCTGGGCCTGGGGGAGCGGCCCAGACGGCGAGGGAGGCCCGGGATGCTCCCCTTTCTCTGCGCCCCGGCCCCTCCGGCCGGGTGGGAACCCGCCTGCGGCCCCATAGCGCTTTGCCCTTGCAGGCAGTCATCTCCTAGGGGACAGAGATCATTTGTCATTCTCATTGCACGTGCTAGGCGCTTTTGGGTAGAAAAGACGTGCGGTGAAGGATAAAGAGTCTCCTGATTTACATCGGAAGATCCTAAAGACCATAATAGAGCAGCGAACTCCATTGGGATATACTGTTTCCTTTAGGTTGAAAAAGGCGTTGAGACTGCCACGGAGAAAATGGAAGCAGGTTAGGGAGGCAAGAGGGGATGGGATGGTAGGGAGGAGGTAGATCTTTTAAGTAAGGGAGGTAAGGAAAGCCTCACTAATAACATCATTAATATTTGAGTAGGGACCTGAAGGAGGTGAGAGAGGTCGATTATCTAGTGGGAAGAGTATTCCATATAAAGGTCCTGAGGTGGAGTGAGCTAACTGTGATGGGGTGTTGGGAGCGAAGTAGCCAGAAAGACAACTGGCATGGAGTAAGAACAGTGGGACTGGAAAAGAGGAACTCGAGAGGTATTGGGATGGGGGGCGGAGGGGGAGGCAGCTTGTGTAGGGACTTGTAGGTGCCGTAGTAAGGACTCTGGCTCCTACCCTGAGTGAGGTGAGAGGTCTTGGAGGGTTTTTAGCCGAGAGTGACATATTAGCAGGACCATCTCGTTATGTGGAGAGTAGAACGGAGGGGGGGCCAGAGTAGCTTGGATCGTAGTTTTAGCAACAAGAAGTGGTCAGGTAAGGATATATTTGGAAGATAAACTATTTTCTCAGAGATTGGATGGGCAGTCTGAGAGAGGAGTTAAGGTCAACTTCAAGGTTTTTGGTCTGTATCATTAGAAGGTTGGAGTTTCTGTTTAAGATTGCAGGAGGATTAGATCAAGAGTTCAGTTTTGGGGAGTTCCCTGGCGGTCCAGTGGTTAGGACTCGGCGCTTTCACTGCCGTGGCGCAGGTTCAATCCCTGGTCTGGGAACGAAGATCCCACAAGCCGTGCAGCGCGGCCAAAAAAAAAAAAGAAATAAAGTTCAGTTTTGGATATATTAAGATTTTGTCTAGTAGATATCCAGGTGCATATTTTGAATAGGAAGTTGGCTCTGCCTGCCTGGACTCAAATCTCAGCTCCACCATTTGCTAGATTTGAGGCAGGTTACATAAGCCTTCCGTATTCCGTTTTCTTATCTGTAAAATGGGCTTTTAAACCGTAGTATATATGTCATCGGCTGTTGTGATGTGTGTAATGTGCATGGAACAGCGCCTGGCACAGAGTAAGCGTAATGCAAGAGTCAGCTGCTGCTGTAATTGCTGCTGTGGTCATTATCGCTCTGCCTAAGGAGAGGTTGCTTCCTACTCCGTAAAATGATTGATTACTGAAAACTAGAGCAGTGAAAGTCCACAGCATTTGGTTTATTGGCTCTTGTAACGATGGCCTCTGTAGAAGGCGCACACCTTGGTCTCTTATCTGGTGGACGTGACTGAAGCTCTGACTGGGGACAGATCGGCGTAGTAAACTGTTGGATTGGATGAGGCTGTGAAGCCTGAGCTCCTCCTGTAACTTTGAAAGAAGCACAAAACCACTCTTCACATTCCAGTGCTAGCATTGCCTTTCCCCTCGCAACATGTTCTTTTGAGAACATACACATTGCCTAGTCCTTGCCTTTATCTGTCGTGCAACTCAGATCCTAAGCTTTTGTCCCTTGATCACTACTTGCTGAGACACAGTTGTCTTCAGACTTCTGTGTCTATAGCATCAACCATTATTTAGATTTACCTGTACGTTTTATTGGCTTCTTTGTTTCTTTTATTTCCCATCCCATCTTCATCTTTCTTAGGTTATTTTTAGTTTTGCTGGAATAACCTCAAGTAATCATCTCAGATGGTATCTATGCATGTTCAGCTTCTCAGTCCTAATGACCCTGACAACAACTTTTCTTTTTCATCTTCCCACTTGAATATAAGTTTAGTTCTCTCCTGACCTCGGAAGGCACCCTGCATTGTACCTGAAATACTCTTCTCCCTGACATTCCTCTTTGTTTTTAATTCTTACATATCTTTTTTTTTTGCGGTACGCGGGCCTCTCACTGCTTTGGCCTCTCCCGCCGAGGCTCCGGACGCGCAGGCTCAGCGGCCATGGCTCACGGGCCCAGCCGCTCGGTGGCATGTGGGATCCTCCTGGACCGGGGCACGAACCCGTGTCCCCTGCATCGGCAGGCAGACCCTCAACCGCTGCGCCACCAGGGAAGTCCTTACATATCTTTTAGGTTAGGAAAACTTCTGGCCCCCAAACCTAGGTTAAGTGTTCCTCATGCATGCACTGATACTTAGCACACCATACAGAAGTTGCTTTCTTTTTTTCTCCCAAGTAGATAGAAAGTTCTTAGAAGGCAGGAACAAGGTCTTTTTCATTGTTGTATTCCAGGATTTAAGGTCCAGAGCCTGGTGTGCGGTGGATACTCAGTATTTGTTGAATGAATGGATGATTTATATAGCTGCTAATAATTGAACATTAAGGTTATGTAATATAAAGTTTCAGCTTTGCGGTTTACTCATAAACATGTGTTGACATTTACTGCTCATCATTGAGTAGTAATGATGGAATGTTTCTCTGGAATATTTGGGGTAGATTTTGAATTTGGAATTTCTTTGAGGGCAAGTTGAAGGTAAACCAAAGCAGTGAATTTTAATGTTGTGGTATGAACCCTTTTCATGTTGAAAAACCCGTCTGTGTTATTTGATATTTTTGCTGCAGAATCGATGGTGAAATAGATGATACAGAAGTTGAAGAAACACAAGAAGAGAAAATAAAATGGAAAGTAAAACTGAAGTGTGAGCAAATTTCCAAAAAAGTAAGATTAAGTTGGTGTATTGAAAAAACAGACAGAAATGGCTGTGAGAAGTTGATTAGGGATCCTATTTGTCTCCTTTTAGTCAGCATTTGAGACCAGGTTACTTATATCAAAGGAAACCTTGTTATACTTAAAAAAAAATTAATCATTTAAGAACTTTGTTGTTTAACATGAACTGTTTCTAGTGCATTGTCTGTATTTTGGTTTCCCCTGTCTTTGAAATGGTTGTTAACGGTTTCAAAATCTTCTTTCTTTTCAAATTAGATTAAAAATTTGGATTTGCTAAACTTAACTAACCGTAGTGATTTATAGCTTGAAGCTTGTATTCAGTTGCTAGGACTGCCATAACAGAGTACCTCATACTGGGTGATTTAAACAACAGAAATTTATCGTCTTGTGTTTCTTGAGGCTAGAAGTCCAAGAGCCAGCTGTCGGGAGGGTTGGTTCCTTCTGACAGCTGTGAGGAAGAATCTGTTCCATGCCTCTGCCCTAGCTTCTGGTTGGTTTGCTGGCAATCTTTGGTCTTCCTTGGCTTGGCTTCCAGAAGCATCATCTTGATCTTTACCTTCATGTTTGAAGGGCATTCTCCCTGTGTGAATACGTCTGTGTCTAAATTTCCCACTTTTATAAGGACACCAGCCATATTGGATTAAAGCCCACCCTAATGACCTCATCTTAACTAATTTTATATATAATGGCCCTATTTCCAAATGAGGTCACATTCTAAGGTACTAGGGGTTAGGACTTCAACATAAGAATTTGGGGAGGACACAGTCAACCCACAGCAACACCAATATCTGCATCTTTCTTGCTTTTTCTCTTTTTGAACTTTTTTAATTGTGAATTTTAACGCACTGCAAAAGAATGGGTTCAAATTGGCAATGAGACTCACAAGACACACATGGGCTTTCATATGATATTCTTATACTCAGCTTTATAAAAGGATACAGGACAGAACATCCAGCAGGTACAGCATCTTCATCTCCTCAGGAAGCCTCTCAGCTACCCAAGTACGTAACTTCTTTTGCCCTTTGGGGCATATATGGCTGCTGTGGACGAGAGCTGTGGTGGACACCAAGGAACTGCAGTTTGGGTTTCCCACACCTTTTTTATGCTATTTTAGTCATGTAGGTCCCAGTCTTTCATGCCCACTTAAAGTTCCCCAGTCCACGTATAACCCCATACAGGAGATAGACAGGTACAACCTTCTACGATTATCTTGAGGAGTTTCCCAGAAATAATACTGTGAGAAGATGGATACCTAGATTATTTCTAAGTAGGCTTACTCCAGGCCAGGCTCTTTACTTATGAGTGTGTAAAACATAAATGTATAGTATCACAGCTAATTAAAAAGAACACCCAAGTAGACACTGTGCAAATCAAGAAAGCTTTACCCACAGTGCCTCTGATGCCTCCTTTTTCAGTTGTATTCCCTTTTCTCCTCCTGGAGACGACTACCGTCCGAACTCGTGTAGTAATCACTTCCTTGTTCTTTACAGTTTTACTACTAATGCTGTCACGCTTCAGAATGCAGTTTTCTCTTGCCTGTTTTTGCACTTTATAGAAATAGAATAGTGTTGTATGTGCTCTTTGCTGTCTTATTTTTCTCAACGTTATATTTATAAGAGTCATAGTATACACGATATATACATGTAGTATATACATAGTATACACAAGTGGCATATACTGATTTGTTCATTTTCTTAGCTGCATGGCATTCCATTGTTTGAATATACTAGGTTCTGCTGTTGGTGGACATTTGGTCTCATGTCCAGTTTTGGGGGTTATGGGTAATGCTGCTACGTCTCTCACTTGTATCCTGCTGCACATCTACTCTACATTTACCTAGGAGTGGAACTGCTGGGTCTTAGAGTACAAGCATCTTTCCCTTTACCATGATGCCAAACTGTATTCCAGAGTGGTTCTACTGATGTTTATTCCAAAAGGCAGTGTATGAGAGGCTGTATTTCTACTGCTGCTCACTTGATATTTGTTACCTTTCTTATTTTCTGCCATCTGGTGAGATATCTTCATTGTCATTTAGTTTGCATTTTCTTGATTACTATTGAGCATCTTTTCATGTTTGTCCAACTTGGATTTGCCTTTTTTGTGGGCCACTTTAAGTCTTTTTTTCATTTTTTTCTTTATTCTGGATATAGGGGATTTTTTTCCCCTTCTTAGTGGATTATGTGTTGCAAGTATCTGCTCATTTTGTGGCTTTCTTTCCAGTCAATGGCAGTTTTTATAAAAGGTTTAGAATTTTAATGTATTCAAATTTATTAATCTGTTCCTTTATAGTTAATGTTTTATATGTTTTATTTAAATACCCTGAGGTAATAGAGATATTTCCCTACAGTGTCTTCTAGAAGTTTTGTTGTTTTTCTTTCCCATTTATGTTTATAATCACCCAGAATTGATTTTTATGTATACTGTGAGGTAGAGGGGACAAATTTCATTTTACTTTTTTTTCATTATCATACCCAATTGTTCCATCACCATTCATTGGGGGGAAAGAACTGTCTTTTCCCGCATGAGTCTGCAGTGTTATTGGTGTCAAAAATCAAGCGTTTGTGTTCTGATGAGTCCGTTTCTGGACTCTCTCTTCTCATCTGCTGGTTTATATGTCTGTCCCTTCCCCCAAGACCTCACTGTGTTGATTATTACAGTTTTATTATAATAAGTTTGGATATCAGATAAGCAAGTCCTCTCACGTTGTTTTTCTTCTTTAACCGTCTCAGCTCTTCTTAGCCCTTTGCATTGCCATATAAACTTTAGAAAGAGTTTGTCAAGTTCCACAAAAAATCCTGTTGGGATTTTCACTTTGGAATGCATTGAATCTTTAGGTCATTTGGGAGAGAACTGACATCTTTAGAATATTGGATTGTCCAGTCTTTAACTCCTCTTTAATTTATCTCAGCAGTGTTTTATAATTTCTTTGTAGATGTCTTCCATCTTATATACCTTTTGTCAGATGTATTGCTAGGTGTCTGATGAGGCTATTGTGAATTACATCCTTTCCTTTTTTTTTAAGCACCATTTTCTAACTTGTTTTCTCACTTAGCTGGCATACATTGTTAGATAGGAATGCATGGAATTAGACTTTTGAGTTCTTGTAACATTTCTGAAAATATCTTGACTTTAGTCTCATAGCTGACAGGTAATTTGGCTGAAATAGAATTCGGCTTGAGCTTATTGCCCCATTTTCTTCTACTGTCCAGTGTTGCTAGTGTGAAGTCTTGGCAATCTAATTCTAGTTACTTTGTTAAGTATCCTGTTCTCCCTGGAAGCTTTTAGAGTCTTCTCTTGGTGGTGTTAGAGACTGAATCTTTTTTCATTCATTGTGCTTAAGTGTTTGGTGAGACTGTTTACTCATACCCTTCATGTACAAGGAATATCTTTTATTTTTATTCTCTTTGCCTTTTTTCTTTATATTCTAAGACATTTCCTCTATTTCTATCTATCTTCATTTCGTAAATCATAATTATCAAGAGTTCTTTCTTGTTCTGTTGTTATAGCTTTCTAGCATTTTTAAAAAATATACCATCTTGGGGCTTCCCTGGTGGCACAGTGGTAGAGAGTCCGCCTGCTGATGCAGGGGACACGGGTTCGTGCCCCGGTCCGGGAAGATCCCACATGCCGCGGAGCAGCTGGGCCCTTGAGCCATGGCCGCTGAGCCTGCGCGTCCGGAGCCTGTGCTCCGCAACAGGAGAGGCCACAATAGTGAGAGGCCCGCGTACTGCAAAAAAATATATATATATACCATCCTGATATCTTTGTGTATTTATTTAAAAATTTTTGTGCTCTTTTCTTTTCCTTGAATTGTATTTGATTCTTCTGGATCAGGTTTTCTCTTTCTACTGCTTTTTTGTTTTATTCTCTAGATCAGGAGTCAGTAAATATTTTCTGTAAAAGATAGGCTTTGCAAGCCAAAAGCAAAATTGAGGGTAGAATGTAGCTACTGATATAACAAGCGGGAGAAAACAAATTTCCACAGCATTTTTATTGACAGAATTTAACATATAATAATAATTGAGTTTTTTGTTGTACAGGTTTACTAGTGAGAATGAGGGGATTCTTCTTTTGGGTTAATAATTTGCTTAACTGGAGTTCAAGGTTAGTGTTCCCTATCTAAATTGATTGCAAAGATTCATCTGTTAGTGCTGATCTGTAATTAGACTCTATACATTTCATCTTTAAAGGTGTTTTTTTTACTGCAGGTACTGCAGAAAACTCTTATCAGTTCACCAGCATGATTGTTACTGAGTATATTCATTGCTTGGAAGGCATTTTTAAAACTTTATTAGATTTTTCTCTTGAGATTTGTCTTTTAGCCTGTCATTACACTGCAGATTAATTACTTCCAATTGAAGGTTAGGTGATAACTCCTCAGTTGCACAGTTAAATGGATTTTGAAATAGCGATTTCGTCTGCATATACATTAAAATCTGAAAAACACTGCTGGAACTGTAGTTTGAGCCTGGAAGATAAATCTACTGCAAATTTGCGTGAGAATGGAGCTCTTGCTTCTTGTTGTAACTTTGGACAGCACAGTGATATGAGCGATGTCAGTAACATCTGTCAACTCATCAAGAGCCAAGGAAAACCACTTGATATCATTTGTCTTATTTTTTTAGTTGTCAGAGTTTCTCCCAGTTCCCTCACGTCTTTGAGAAACTGTTGTTGCCAAAAGGCCAGTTTTCTTAAAGAACTTTTTCTCTGGACAGTTCTTCAATTGCTGCAATCAAACATGATTTAATTAACTCACCATCAGCTTTCTTTGGCTAACAACTGAGCCACTCAGAAACTTACTTTGATTGCAGCCTCATTTTCATTTTTGATTTTTGTGAGGAAATAATTTTGTGATGAGATATTTGGCTTATATTTTCTAATTGTTCTCACCATGGCTTTCCTGTGAGTTGGGACCATTGTGATGAATGCTTAATATTGTCAACATATATTGTGTTCCTTCAGCACTGCTGTAATATCATTGTGTAATAACCGTAATGCTTTGCCACCTAATTTGACAGTAAAATAATCCACACTTTACTGTGTCTTAAATGCATGGCATTCAAAGTCTGCTTTTCATGTTTTGACATGGTGGGTGTGCACTGGTAATGAAACAAAAAAGTATCATGACTTGGTGATATGTGACATATTCAACATGCTGTCAAGTTATAACTGTCAGGGTTTCCCTGGTGGCACAGTGGTTAAGAATCCACCTGCCAATGCAGGGGACATGGGTTCGAGCCCTGGTCCAGGAATATCCCACATGCCACGGAGCAACTAAGCCTGTGCGCCACAACTACTGAGCCTGTGCTCTAGAGCCCGCGAGCCACAACTACTGAAGTCCGCGTGCCTAGAGCCCGTGGTCTACAACAAGAGAAGCCACTGCAGTGAGAAGCCTGCGCACCGCAACAAAGAGTAGCCTCTGCTCGCAGCAACTAGAGAAAGCCCGCGCGCAGCAACGAAGACCCAACGCAGCCAAAATAAATAAATAAATAAGTAAATGTATTTTTTTTTTAAGTTATGGGCTTCCGTGGTGGCGCAATGGTTGGGGGTCCGCCTGCCGATGTGGGGGGCACGGGTTCGTGCCCCGGTCCGGGGGGGATCCCACGTGCCGCGGAGCGGCTGGGCCTGTGGGCCATGGCCGCTGGGCCTGCGCGTCCGGAGCCTGTGCTCCGCGGCGGGAGGGGCCACGGCAGTGAGAGGCCCGCATACCGCCAAAAAAAAAAAGTTATACCCGTCACTGAAATTCATGGTATGCTGAGCATGAGTGTAAAGTGATGAGAGAGCCACAGCCACACCTACGGTCTCTTTTGCATCTGCTCAGCTCTCAAAGCAGCCAGTGTAATACGTAAATGAGTGAGCATGGCTGTGTTCTGATAAAACTTTATGGATGCTGAAATTAGAATTGTATATAATTCCCGTGTCATGAAATGTTATTTCATTTTTTTCCCCCAACCATTTAAAAAATGTAAAGACCATTCTTAGCTTGCTGACTATTACAGAAACAGGTAGCAGGATAGATTTGGCCCTTGGTTTTATTTTAATGACCACTGCTTTAGATTTCATTGTTAGCTTTTGTTTTTCTTTATGTCTCTTGATTTAAGAAAGGCCTGGAGAGCTGATGGATGTTCTTTGCTGGTCTGTTGGTAGGTCTGTGTCTCCATAGGCCTCTCTTCTAAATGGAAAGCCTGATGGGGCATTCGGTACGTGAGTGGGCCGTGTGCGTCTCTAGGTGTCCAGCAGCATAGTAGTTCTTAACCTTCTTTGTGCCACGCACCCCCTTTGGCAGTCTGGTGAAGCCCATGGGCCCCTTATGATAATGTTTTTAAGTGTATAAAATACGTTGGATTACAATGGAAATTGATCTTATTGAAACACAGTTATCAAAATATTAAAGAACAAATGGGGTAAGAGTAATATGCTCTTTATAAATGCACTAACTAGTAAGATCCAGCGTTAGGTCTAATTATTGTAATTTTGACATAGTGATGAACCTAAAAGATATCTTGAGGTCTGCAATAACTGTGATATACGAAAGTGCCTGTGATTTCTAGTGGTGACAGTCGCAGCTGCTGCTAATACTACTGTGGTTTGTTGCTGTGGTTCAAAGCAGAAGAAAATGCCAAATGTCAGTTTAGAGGTTGATGGAGATAATGTGTGATTTTTATTACTCTCCAAGCTCATTGAATTCTATCCATAGACCCTTGGCCAGAGGCAGGGCGGGGTGGGGCCATCTCTGGACAGCAGGTTAAGAACCCTCGATATAGAGTGAGTGGATAGAGTGTTTTTCTCGTGGGAGTTGCTCCCAAATGTCAGAATATGGAGGAATTCACTCTGGGGTCTTAGTACCCATACAAGAAGGCTTGGCTTTTATCAGACATTTTAATACATTTCTTTAGCGAATAGCTCTCTTTTTGCCCAGGGTAAATTTTTTGTTTTTTAATAAATTTTTAAAATTTATTTATTTATGGCTGCATTGGGTCTTCGTTGCTGCGTGCGGGCTTTCTCTAGTTGCGGCGAGCAGGGGCTACTCTTCATGGCGGTGCACGGGCTTCTCATTGCGGTGGCTTCTCGTTGCGGAGCACGGGCTCTAGGCACGCGGGTTCAGTAGTTGTGGCACTTGGGCTCAGTAGTTGTGGCTCATGGGCTCTAGAGTGCAGGCTCAGTAGTTGTGGCGCACGGACTTAGTTGCTCCGCGGCATGTGGGATCTTCCCGGACCAGGGCTTGAACCCGTGTCCCCTGCATCGACAGGCGGTTTCTTAACCACTGTGCCACCAGGGAAGTCCCCTGCCCAGGGTAAATTTTTGTTTGATTGTATTCTGCGTGGGGGGTGGGTGGGCAGAGATAATTTGTTACAATAGCTTTGTTTGTTTTTATGTAGAATTTTAAGTCATTCTCATTTATAGCCCTATTTCTCACACTGCACCCTAAGCCCAACCTCCAAATTATAACTTGCTTTTTGTTTGTCAAAAATTTGCCAGGAATTTGTTGAACTTTTCTTAATTCCTAATGAGTGTACTTCATTCCCCGTCTCCTATACACACACTATTTTAGGACTATTAATTTTTATATTTCTATACTTTTATTTCTGTGGAATTTCAGGAGGCCATATGAGTTCTATATACCATCCTGAATCAAATGCAAGAAAATCTTTTACTTAAAAAAGAAGAAAAATACTTTATGTAGACTCCTTTATAAAACATAAAAAAGTTGTAATATCGTGTTCTTATACTTTCCAAATTATATAGAGAACAACAGACATCGAAGCAATGAGTTTATAGTTAGCTGCATGAAGAAAAGTATTTAAGCAATCATTTGTATATTGTGTATTTCGGTGCCCTCTGAAAAGAATCATATCAATTAGGAATACTTCTCTATAGTAAAACAACATAGTTGATGATTGTCCTGGTTTTATAATGTTGCCAGGTCATCTCATCTCTTCATTTAATACAAATAAGTCAGTTTTGTTACTACTTGTAGTAAAAGGGGTCTGCTCAGTACTGCAGGCCTCCGCATCTTGTGCGGGGGAGGGGGAACACGTAATCACCCATTTGGATCCTCGTAATATTTTGATTCAGATGCACTGAATAGAATCTCATGTTTGATTGAGCTAAACTTCTTGTGAACTGTTGCATATTGAATGATTTTTTGGTTCTCCCTGTGCCTACTAAATAAAATTAAAGGCCAAAACCAAGGTAAACATAATAATTATCACAGGAGTCAGCCAACTTTTTCATAAAGGACCAGATAAGTGCATCTTTTTGACTTTGTGAGCCATATCGTCTCTGTCACAGCTAAGCAGCCATAGATTAATGAATGAATGAGTGTGACTGTTCCAGCAAAACGTTATTTATAAAAGCAGGAGGCCAGGCCTAACCCCTAACCCGAAGCTGTTTACAAGTTTGTTCTATGGTATGTTGGAAAAGGGTGCTCTTTTCTTGAGGACTCAGAGATGAGAAACTTGGAGGCTTGAAGATTGGATTGGTTGGTAGTCTTGTCTGGTGTAATGAAAATAAGATGTACAGTGAAGCCCTTGTCAGGTTAGGCAACCTTCTCAGCTTGTTCGGATTCTTCAAGCAGGGGGCAAATTCATTTTCTAGGCCATAGTCAACCCTCCAGTGGTACAGCTTCTAGCTTGGAAGTTAAACATCAAAGGTAAACCATTAAACTGGACCACCTAGTATATTTTGTGATTCCCCTTTGCTGCCTTCCTCAGTTATGTGAGGGTAGATGAGACCAGGCCCAAAAGCTCTGGAGCAGGATAATTGGCCAATTTAATGACAGACATATCATCTCTTCCTGAGATCAGAATAGGAGCCCTTTGGCAGTTGGGCTTTTTAAAAATAAACTTTTTAATTGAAATGTACTGGTTGTAATTATACAGCCTGATACACCTGTGTCACCAAGTATAGACACCTCTGTAACCAGTACTTGGAAATTTTTATATGCAAAGTGCTTTAAGTTGTCTGCTTTGATCACCTCGGGCTGCTTCAGGGTCAGCTGCCATACCTGAGTTCCTGTTCCAGTGGATGCCTGTGTTTGTAGCTGTCACCTTGGGGCAGCTCCAGCAACAGAGTTAGAAGACTGTTTCTGAAAGTAAAATTAACTTAATTACAGAGAATGGGGCAATTCTTTCTTCTCATCATTGCTGCCACATCCTATGCCACCAGTGCTGTGAGTTATAGGGAAAAAATAGGCTTTGGTATGTGTGATGTATCTTACTTAGTATAGTGGATTTTCAATTGGGCCATTACAGTGTACTTGTTCTTTTATGAAATGACGATCTATTGAGTTAAACCGTTTAAAAGTATAGTCCATGCAAAGGGAGAAATAAAATGTGAACTATAATTCTGTAGTTCCTTTATATCAAATAATTAAGACATAGGGCTTTAGTCTTTCTTTTTTCTTTTCTTTTTTTCTTTTATCGGGGTATAGTTGTTTTACACTGTTGTGTTAGTTTCTACCGTACAGCGAAGTGGAGTTCCCTGTGCTATACAGCAGGTTCTCATTAGTTATCTATTTTATACAGATTAGTGTATGTATGTCAATCCCAATCTCCCAATTCAGCTCACCCCCCGGGGCTTTAGTCTTTCAATTCAGTAAAGTACAGTATACAAATTCAGAATCTTCCCTCAAACCATGTTTAAGGATAGATTTTTTTTTTTTTAAATTCTGGAAAATTTCATATACATAAGAACGGAAAGAATAGCATATGAAACCCCTATGTACCCATCTCCCAACCTCAACAGTGATCATGGCCAGTCTTTGCTTCTTCTTTATAACCAGATTGTTTTGAATCATGCTAGGTTTTAAAAATTGAAAATGTAATTTTCACTTAGCTTAGGCACTTTGGAAACTCTACATCACGGAAGAATTTGCAACGTAGAAAATCAAGAAGTAAGGACTATGATGTATATAGTGATAATGATATCTGCAGTCAGGAATCAGAAGATAATTTTGCTAAAGAGCTTCAACAATATATACAAGCTAAAGAGATGGCAAATGTTACTCAATCCTTATCGCTTCCTGAAGAATCTGTGAAGAAAGAGGGAGCAAAGGATACCCAGAAAGGTAAAGGTAAGAGTCCAATTATTTTATCATTTAAAGTTATCTAGAGAAGCAGTCACATTTGTCCACATATGGATGGGGGGGAGGGGTTCGCTTGCATTTTATCTCATGATAAGATCACATTTTCCTGGATCTTTACACCAAATGTGAGCTGGTCACTTGGTGTACAAACGCTTAGTTTGCCGGAGGACCGGAGAGTGCAGGAGGGTTTTCAAAGGACGTGACTACTTTGAAAGGGAGAATGCTAAACCCCTGGCCTCAGCATGTGTGAAGGACAGGAAATACCTGTTCGCTGTCCTCTAAAGAAGAATGGGTTTAATTAATGTCTGGGATGGTAGTGTGTCCGACTAAACTCAGAAATATATTCTTTTAGATGACTAAAATGAAAGTTAAGCCACAGGTAGGAGAATAAATGACAATTGTAAATGAAATTCTTAATCTTCTCATTTTATTTTTTTCCCTCTTTAAATGTTCCTCTATTTAAAATGGATCTATAGGTAAACTTAATATATAAAATGTTTTCAGGGAGTAATCTGACAGCCATATATGAGGTCTTTTAAAACATTTGAAGGTTTTACTGTTACAGTGCTATAGCAGTTCCTACTTAGATCCATTGTACTCTGAACACTTCAGAAGGATCTGGCTGATGGCTAGCAAGACTGATTTCGTGAATTATCTTGTTTTTTTCCCCAATAATACCTTATATATTTTCACAAAGAGTTAATTTGGGATCCACAGTATATTAATCCAAGAGCTTCTAGAAAGACAGGTCCGCATCATCCTAGTTATTACGCTTCAAGCAGTGGAGAAGTTTTCCTGGATTGTTAGAGAATATACTTCTTAAGAGTAAACTGCTATTGGACTTTTATATCACCTTTAAATTGAACTTTCTTGCTTTTAGCTGTTAAACAAAAAAATAAAAATAAAAACCTTAAAGCTGTTCGCAAGAATGGTAAACAGAAGAAAATGAAGCGAAAATGGCCTGGCACTGGAGACAAAGGATCAAACGCTTCCCTGAGGAAGAGTGGCTCACAGGAACAGGTATGAGAATATATGCCTGTCTGTCGGAGGGCACTGCCTGCCCTTGGATTTTTATCTTGCACCCCAATGGGATCTCCTCTTACCTCCAGTGGGCTCCGTGGGTTCTTCTTTCTCACTGTTGGGTGGCCTTCCCTCACACTTGTTACCTGCCAGCGCCCACTCAGGCCTTAGTGTCGTACCTGTTGCCCCTGTATACACGCACACAAGCCCCCTGATTTCTGAGGGCTGTGCAAAAACAGATATGGGAGGCAGGGAGAATATAATAAGATAGCCATGAGGACATTCCAAAGGCCACAGAGTCTTACAGAGTTTCTACTCTTAAAGTCCCTGGTCTGTTGGTTTTTGACTCCCTCTGGAAATTAAAAATGAATATTTTTGAGCTTTGACCTTATCAGACACTCCCTACCCTCCTGGAATTTTGATTTTGCTTTGTAGAAGTTCCTCTTCCTTGGTCTGCAGATGTAATCACAGTAGAACAATAAGTGACTCCTCTGGACTCTGCTTTTCTGAGGGCTTCTAAGCTGGATGGCCACCTTTTTTTTGTTAGGCTTGGTTCAGGAGGCAAGAGTTGAGGGTGGTAAACTATTAGAAATACCAAATATTATAGATTGAAATGTATTTATATAAAATCTGTTTTACAAAGGAGGAATCCGAAGCCCTAGGGTTTAGGTAACTGCCTGTAGTTACAAGGGCCAGGGCAGGGCTAGACCCAGGCAGTTTCCCTTTCCTTTGTTTTTTTTTTAAATATATATTTATTTACATATTTATTTGGCTGCGCCAGGTCTTAGTTGATTCATGCGGGATCTTTAGTTGCGGCATGTGGGTTCTAGTTCCCTGACAACCTGGGCCCCCTGCACTGGGTGCGTGGAGTCTTAACCACTGGACCACAAGCAAAGTCCCCCCTTTCGTTTGGTTTAGATTGACTCAAATGATTATTCAGCCAAAGCTGGCAGCCCTGCTACACGAGGAACAAATGTAAATATATATGTTAGAATTTAATAACATAATCAAAATAAAACCCAGAGTTAAAACTGACATTTATTAGACACATAATTTTGATGGTGCTAAGTGGAAGTCTGACATTATTGCAAAGCAGATCACATAAATATACAGCCAGCTCCCTTCTTTGTACTTACTGAATTCCTAAGACTGTATGCGGGTATATGGTACGTAGAAGCTGTAAGTTGTACCACAAGTTAACACACTAAAAGTGATTTATGTTTCTAAAGACGTAAAATGAAATTCCCCTTTTGTTTTCATACCTTTTTTGCCATTTTTGAGGGTATATTTCTAATTATGTTTGTTAATTTGAGCTCGTCAGTACACTCAGCTCACACGTAGTGAGCATCTCACTGAAATGAAAGATCACACTACTTTTGCTTTACCTTATGATTTTGAGGTTTGTCCCCATTGTTCTAAAGAGCCTTGTTCTTAGACTTCACTTTTTAATCAGACGTAGTGGTACTTTCCTGTTAAAATTTTTAAATTAATTTTTTAAAATGAGGGCAAGGTACAATAAAATATTCATAATGTTCAGTGATGGAATGCTGTTGAAACTGACAAAACATTAATTTTTTTCAACTGATATACAAAAGTCCACATCTTACCTGCAGGCCAATTCAGAAGAGTTACCTTTTAATGTTTTTAAAGGTGGTTTAAAATAATTTTGTACGGCCTTCCCTGGTGGCACAGTGGATAAGAATCTGCCTGCCAATGCAGGGGACACAGGTTTGATCCCTGGTCTGGGAAGATCCCATATGCCGTGGAGCAACTAAGCCCATGCACCACAACTACTGAGCCTGCACTCTAGAGCCTGCGAGCCACAACTACTGAAGCCCGTGTGCCTAGGGCCTGTGCTGCACAACAAGAGAAGCCACTGCAGTGAGAATCCCGTGCACCGCAATAGAGAGTAGCCCCTGCTCGATGCAACTAGAGAAAGCCTGCACACAGCAACGAAGACCCAATGCAGCCAAAAATAAATAAATAATTTAAAGAACACATTTTTTTGTACAATGGAATAAAATATTTAATTTTTTATTTCTCACATTTAGTTTTTTGTTTTTGTTTTCAAAGGATGGTAAACCTAAAGAGAAGCAGCCTGTGAGAATGAGTCAGGGATTCATCAACCAACATACGGTGCAACGCCAGGGAAAACAAATTTGTAAATATTTTCTTGAAAGGAAATGTATTAAGGTATAAAAAATGTGTAAGCAAAAATATACTAAAATGTAAGATATAGCAAAAATGTACTAAAACCAGCTCCTCTTTCCATTAGACACTCCAAAAGCATACCTGTACAATTTTAGAACCGTTTCCTTCTGGGAAAGTTTCAATTAGGAAATTTTACTGAAATATTCTTTTATGTTTAGGAGAATAGATAATTTTTTTAAAATGCTTTGTGTTAAAAATATTAAGGACTTGACAGATTTTTTAAGCAGATATATATATGTGATGTGGTTATGATAGCTCGTTAAGAATTAGACTGTACTGCTTCTAAGACTTTGTTTTCTTCTAGAATCATTAAGTTAAGTAGGAATTGTAATGACTTAACTATGAGGAATAATGGTTTTTCCTTGTCCCTTCTTTTGGCCCAGGGAGACCAGTGTAAATTTGATCATGCTGCAGAGATAGAGAAGAAAAAGGAAATGTGTAAGTTTTATGTACAAGGATATTGTACCAGAGGTGAAAACTGCCTGTATTTGCATAATATCCTTTATCACAAGGTACAGTAACTTTACTTTTCATAAACATTTACACGAATGTAAAATTTTGAGTGAAACCAAGTGTTTTAGCCACGGCAAAATCACATTATCCAAGCTCAACTCAGTGTTGAAGTGATTACATTGTACACAGATTTTTCTTCTTTTTCCCCCAAGCAAGAGTCTTTAGAAATTCTCTCAGATGCACATCCTCTCAACCTGGGTAGTGTAACAGCTTCACAAGACCTATTCAGACCTATCCAGAAAAACTTCTCTGAATTTCTGCTGTGACATCTACTAATTGAATCTATATTCATGTAATCTACTTCATAAAAGAGGCAGGAATTGCACAGTTTGGGAGTACTCTTTTTCTGCACATTCAGTATTGTATAGAGGTTCATTGTCCCTTAATTTGAAGAATAACCCTAACTCTTCAGTGTAAATGGTCTAGACATGTTGTAAAAATACAAACATAAACATTTTAGGGTAATTGGACCTTTGATCAACACAAAAGTTGTTTTCCTTCAGTCATTCAATACAAGGAATCGCAAATTCTAACTTGAGAAATTTTTCCTAGAAAACAATATCGAAGCTGTATAAATTGTTCCTATTTTATACAAGCCTAATATATGAAGGATCCAGATTTGTAAGACATATCATTGTCATTGACTTTAATCCCCCCACCGCAAAAGAATGCTTTAAAAATAATCCCATTTCTCAAAGTATTTAAAATACACATCCCTCTCTTATATCGGTGAAATATACCTGTAGTTTATTTTAAGAATGGATATGAAGGAAAAAAGTGTCCTGTGATAGCCAATAAACTTTATAATCATCCTAAAATTAGATTTTTCTTATAACCCAGTTAATAATTTACTGTCTCATATTTTAAATAGAGAATTTGTTTCTACTAGTAGAAAAGAACTTTACGTAGGAAAAATAAAGTTACTAAATTAATAACAAATTATTTTAGTTGGATTACAGTTCTTTTCCTTAACATTTGGGTTAACATGAATATCCTTGCAAGTTTTACCATACAGGAGCAAAATGTTATCAGGGAGAACATTGCAAGTTTTCACATGCTCCACTGACTGCTGAAACACAAGAACTGTTGGCTAAAGTAAGTACAATTTTAATTTTTGTTTCTCTCTTTTTTTTTTTTTTTTTTTTTAAATTTATTATTTTTGGCTGTGTTGGGTCTTCGTTGCTGCGCACGGGCTTTCTCTAGTTGTGGTGGGCTGGGGCCACTCTTCGTGGCGGTGCGCAGGCCTCTCATTGCAGTGGCCTCTCCTATTGTGGAGCACGGGCTTTAGGCGCACAGGCTTCAGTAGTTGTGGCACGTGGGCTCAGTAGTTGTGGCTTGCGGGCTTTAGAGCGCAGGCTCAGTAGTTGTGGTGCATGGGCCTAGTTGCTCCGTGGCATGTGGGATCCTCCCGGACCAGGGCTTGAACCCGTGTCCCCTGCATTGGCAGGCAGATTCGTAACCACTGCGCCCCCAGGGAAGGCCCTGTTTTTCTTTTTTAAAGAATACTTTTGAACTAAGGGTGGAATTTGAAAAGACACTCACAGTTTCTTAAGGAGAGTGCCTCATAGGGTAGCATGTGGGTTATATTAGGACTGATAATCTAAGGATTTACTTCCGTTTAGAAAATTCATTTGTATATTTTTCCTTGTAGCTTAAAGGAAAATTTATACTTACTGCTGGTGTAAATTGGAATGTTCTTAAAACCTTCAGTGTAGTTAGCAACCTTAGTAGCTAAGTTAACCAGAGGAAAACAAAGCAAATAGGAGAAATAGTACTCCTGTTATACTCTTAGAAGGAGAGTTAAGGATCATCGGTTGATAAATATTTTAGGGTTACATCAAAACATACTTATGTAGTTATTTCAAAGTTTTCTTCAAATATTCTTTCAAGTGTAAGAAAAGATAATTGAAAAGTAATAGTCGTTTATGTTCTTTCATTTCCCATGTGTTAATTGGAGCTAGTCTCTTCAAAATTAAACTGAAATATAAGTGAAAATAAAAGATTCTTTTAAAACCAAACCATTCCATCTTGCGGCAGAAGTTCCCTTGACTATATTGCAAATATTAGAAAGTCAAAGGTCCTTGTTTCTGGATATTTTTAGTTGTGAAATATGAAGGGTTACCCTGGGATTAGAAATTATACCAAATATTTGGTTGTTTATTAGCATGAATGTATGTGGAAAAAATGATAAATGTAAAAGTCATTTTCCAGTTCCCCTTATAGTAAATATTATTAGATGATTACTAGGATGAATATTATTGGAATCTTTAGAAAATTACAAGAGTATTATGATGTACCTGAATTTAATGCATAAAAATGATTGCATGATTTTTTTCCCCCCATACTAGGCTTTGGATCCTGAAAAGAAGTCGTCATGAAAATAAAATACATAAAAAAGGTAAAATTTATGATTTAACACTTTTTTCCCCCTCTGAAATGTCTCTAGAAATTGGCATGGGGACATAGGCCTTTTTACATTTTCTCAAATAGAAGTCTTTTTCTCTCTCCTACCCCACTAAAAACTTATAAAATATTTGATACATATAAATAGATATATATGTGGATCTCCATGGACCTGCTTCCCTTTCTGGATTTGTCACTGTCTTTTTGTGTTTTTATTCTTCTGTCTTGTTTCTTTGTAAATTTACCAAATGTGTATGATTCACCAAATATTATATTTAGTTTTGCTTGGGTTTGGATATTAAACAGTATCACATTCTATACTTATTGGTGACTTGCTGTTTTCGCTCAGCATTATGCTTGTAAGATTCATTCATGTATATGCATGCAGCTGTCATTCATTTTTACTCTTGTATAGCATTTATTCTATGAATATGTTACAAATTATTTAGTCATTCTACTATTGACGGACATTGAGGTTATTTTCAATTTTTAAAATATAAACTGTTATTATAAATAACTGTTTCACATGTCTTCTGATGAAAATGTGTGTGAGTTGTCCTGAGTGTACCAAGGAATAGAATTGTTGTATCATCTTAAAACTTAAGATAATACCAATCTTTTCTGAAGTACTTATAACAGTTTTTATTGCCATCAACTGTGTAAAAGAATTTCTGTTGCTCCCCACTCACTAATGCTTTATATTGTCACGACTTTAAATTTTTTGACCAATTTAGTGGGTGTAAAAATGGTGCCGCATAGCTGTATTTTCATAAAGTTCAGCATTTTTTCTTAAGCTTACTGGCTTTTGAGCTTCATCTCCAGGGAAATGCCATTAATGTCTTTTGCCTATGCTTCTGTTGGGCTGATTGTCCTTTATAAATTGATTTTTATATACAAATTGTTTGTGACGTATGTGTGACAAGTCTTCTCCCATTTTGTGGGCTGTCTTTTCACTTTTTTAAAGGCGTTTCAGTGAGCAGAATTACTTGTTTTGGCGATCTTTTTCTTTATGGTAGGTTTTGTGTTTTGCGCCTTACTTAAGAAATCCTTCCCTATCATGAGGCTGTAAAGTACTTTAATTTTTATTAGGTTTTTATAGTTTTGCTTTTTACATTTATATTTTAATCCTTTGGAAAGTCTATCAGTTAACAGTTGTCACAATAATGGTGTTTAAAACCAACCACAAGACTCTCAGTAGCATATAAAAGTAAACATTTCTTTTTCCATGCATCTGCAGATAGGCTGGGAATAGGCTGATACAGGCTGGCTCTGGCTGGGTTGGTTGTGCTTCATAAAGCAGAACCACTGGGATGGTTCTGCCCCACATTTGTTTCACTCTCCTCCTGGGACCAGGGGGCTAGCTGGGGCATGTTTTTCTCATGGCATTGGCAGAAGGACAAGAGGGCAAGGCCCTGTTTGTATCACATCATGTTTACTTACAACCCATTGACCAAAGTAAGTCACAAAGCAAGCCCAAAGTTAGGGAGTAGGAAAGTATACTCTACTTTCTGTACTTTCCATGTGGGAGGAGTTGCTAAATTACATGAAAATTTTTCTGAAGGGACCTTGAGGGAATTATGCTAAGCAGAATAAGTCAGAGAAAGAAATATACCGTTATGATTTCACTTATGTCTAAAAAACAAAACAAATGGACAAATAAAACCAAACCAAAATCATAGATTCAGAGAACAGAGTGGTGGTTACCAGAAGGGATGGGGATTGGGCAGTGGGTGAAACAGGTGAAGAAAGGGGTCAAGAGGTACAAACTTCCAGCAATAAAATAAATCGGTCATGGGGCTGTAGTGTACGGCATGGTGACTATAGTCAGTAATGTTGTAGAGCATACTTGAAAGTTGCTGAGAGAGTAAATCCTAAAAGTTAAGTATGTATGGTGTTAGGTGGTAACTAGACTTACTGTAGCAATCATTTCTCAATCTATACAAATACTGAGTTATTATGTTGTACACCTAAAGCCAGTATAATGTTATATGTCAATTATACCTCAATAAAAAATTTTTTTAATTACACGAAAAAGAGGGTAGCTGTGGGTATAGGGAAAAGGGAAGAATTAAGACTAATTGATTTTTTTTTTTTTTTTTATACAGTGTGCTATAGGGACTTGATTTTCTTTTTTTACCCCATACGGATAACCAATCTCCCAGAACCATTCAAATGAAAAGACTGCCCTTTCCCCACTGATTTGTAATGCCCCCTCTGGTATATATCGAGTTTCCTTCAAACAGAGGTCTATTTCTGGGGTCTCTGTTCTGTTCCTTTTGTCTTTTGCTCTAGTACTCTACTGCCTTAATTACTTTAGCTTTGTTGGATTTTGATATAGTTTGATAATTTTTCTAATGTTGTTCTTCAGGAGCACCTTGACTATTTTGGACCCTTTTACTTTGTTAGTTTTTTTAAAAACAGCTTTGTTGAGGTATGATTTATATATCACTTGTTGTAAGTGTATAATTCAATATTATTTGGTAAATTTACAGAGTTGCATAGCATCACAAAATCTAGTTTTAGAAGGTTTTTGACACCCCCAAAAGATTCCTTTTACCCATTTGCAGTCACTTTCCAATCCCACTAATGAATTTTCTAGATTTGCCTTTTCCGGGTATTTCATATAAATTTCAACATGTGGTCTTTTTTTGTTTTTGTTTTGTTTTTTTATTTTTGGCTGAGTTGGGTCTTCTTTGCTGCGCGTAGGCTCTCTATAGTTGCAGTGTGCGAGCTTCTCGTTGCAGTGGCTTCTCTTGTTGCGGAGCATGGTCTCTAGGTGTGTGGGCTTCAGTAGTTGTGGCACACGGGCTTAGTTGCTCTACGGCAAGTGGGATCTTCCCAGACCAGGGCTCGAACCCGTGTCCCCTGCCTTGGCAGGTGGATTCTCAACCACTGCGCCACCAGGGAAGCCCCAGCATGTGGTCTTTTGCTTCTGGCTCTTTTCATATAGTGTAATGGTTTTGAGATTCATCAATGCTTTAGCATATATCAGTGATTTTTAAAAAAAGTAATTGCTCCATTATTCCATTGTATGGGTATACCACTTTTTTTTAATCCTTTCAACAATTGATATTTGTGTTATTTCCAATTTTTAGTTATTATGAATAATTCTGCTGTGAGCATTTGTGTATGAATCTTTGTGTTGTGGACGTACTTTTTTTTGTTTTTTGGAAAATGAGAAACCTAAATATATTGTCAAAATATGCCTTGGAGATAGCACACAAAAGCAATGTTACGAAGCTACCAAATGCATAAATGAATATTCTCTTGAGGAACTTCTCATCTAAGGACTTTTTTCCCTTTTGGTGGTACAATTAGGAACAGGTGGGTTTTGTGAAACTTTTTGGTGCTGGTGGGTGGCTGTCAGTTCAGGGTAGGTTTGGACCTGTGTTAATTTGAAGCACTTTTTCCTCAAGCAGGGATGACTTATTTCTAGGTCATGGGATCAAGAGGTGACTACTTGAGATCACAGAAAACCTTAGGTTGCATCAAGGAAGTATTGGTAGGCGGAAGAATCAGGATGAGCTTATTATTAGCTTTGCAGACATACATTTTTATTTATCTTGAGTAGGTTACTACTTTAGTGGAATTTCTGGGTCCGACAGTAAATACATGTTTAACTTTTTAAGAACTGCCACATTGTTTTACAAAGTGGCTGCATTATTTTACATTCCAGACAGCATTGTGGGAAGATTTTAGTTTCTTCACATCCTCACCAATGCTTGTTATTGTCAGCTGTTTTGATTATAGCTTTTCTGTTAGGGGTGAGCTGGAATCTCATTGTAGTTGTAATTTGCATTTCTCTAATGGCTAATGGTGTTGAGCATATTTTCATGTGCTGTTGGTGGATTCAGATCTTTGCCCATTTTTTAATTGGGTTGTAAGCTTATTATTGAGTTGTAAGAGTTCTTTATATATGTTGGATACAAATCCTTTATCAGATATATAATTTGTAAATATTTTGTCTCAATCTGTGGCTTTGTCTTTTTGTCGCAATTTGTGCTTGCCTTTTAAAAAGAGTGTCTATTGAAGCATGAACGTTTTCATTTTGTTGTAGTACACTATCAGTTTTTTTCCATCATGGATCATGCTTTTGGTGTTTCATCTAAAAATTCTTTGTCTAATCCAAGGTCACAAGATTCACTTTTATGTTCTAAATTCGTTTTAATAGTTTTAGCTCTTATATTTATGTCTGTGATTCATTTTGAGTTAATTTTTGGGAATGGTGTGAGTTAGGATCCAAATTTTTGTTTTGCATATAGATACCCAATTGTTCCAGCAAGCATTTAAAAAAACTACCCTTTCCCCACTGAGTTGCCTTGGCACCTTTGTCAAAAATCAGTTGAACTAAATGTAAGGATTTATTTCTGGGCTCTCAGTTGTGTTCTCTTGATCTATAATGTTTATCCTTATATACTGTCACTGTCTTGATCACTGTAACTTTATATAGTTGTTCTTTGGTATCCAAGGGGAATTGGTTGTAGGATCCCACAAATACTAAAATCCATGGATGCTCAAGTCCCTTATATAAAATGGCATATTTGCAGATAACCTAAGGACATTCTCTTGTATGCTTTAAACCATCTCTAGGTGACTCAAAATACCTAAAATACAGTGTAAATGCTGCGCGGATAGTTGCTGACGCACGGCAAGTTCAAGTTATGCTTTTTGGAACTTTCTGGGATTCTTTTTCCCAAATATTTTTGATCCACAGTTGATTGAATCTGTGGGTGCGGAAGTTGCAGATATGGAGGAGTGACTGTACCAAGTTTTGAAATAAGGAATTGCAGGCTGTCTAGTTTTGTTCTTCTTCTCCAAGATTGTTGTGGCTATCCTGTATTTTGCTTTTCCATGTAAATTTTAGGATCAGCTTGTAAATTTCTGCAAAAAACGTATGCTGGACGTTAAAAGGATCATACAGCATGATCAAGTGGGGTTTATCCCAGGAATGCAAGGATTCTTCAATATACGCAAATCAATCAACGTGATACACCA